GTTATGGACAATCCATGATGAGCACTTAAGTCCAATAACAAAACACCGCTACACTGCTCAGGTTCAAGTCGGGGGGGGGGGGGGGGGGGGGGGTGCTCCTCCCAACCACACCTCTCGAGGTCTCACTGTCATTACCCACGTGAGCGTTGAAGTCCCCGAGCAGAACGAGGTAGTCCCCGTTAGGAGCACTCTACAGCACCCCACTCCAAGGACTCCAGAAAGGGTGGGTAATCTGAACTGCTGTAAGGCGCATGGGCACAAACAACAGTCAGGACCCGTCCCCCCACATGTATGCAGAGAGAGGCTACCCTCTTGTTCACCGCAGTAAACCCCAACGTACACGCACCGAGATGGGGGCAATAAGTATGCCCACTCCTGCTTGGCGCCTTTCAGCATGGGCAACTCTAGAGTGGAAGAGTGTCCAACCCCTCTGGAGGAGACTGGTTCCAGAGCCAGAGCGGTGCGTTGAGGCGGGTCCAACTATATCTAGTCGGAACCTCTCCACCATCAGGCTCCTTCCCCACCAGAGAGGTGATATTCCACGTCCCCAGAGCCAGTTTCTGTAGCCGAGGATCGGACCGCCAAGGTCCCCACCTTAGACCACTGCCTAGCACATATTGCACCCGACCCCTTTGGCCCCTCCCACAGGTGGTGAGCCCATGGGAAGGGGGACCCACGTCTCCTCTTCGGGCTGCGCCCGACCGGGCTCCATGGGTGAAAGCCCGGCCACCAGGTGCTCGCCAATGTGCCCCACCTCCAGGCCTGGCTCCAATGTGGGGCCCCGGTGACCCGCGTCTAGGCGAGGGAACACTAAATCCATTTGTGGTACTCATCATAGGGGTCTTTGGGCTGCACTTTGTCTGATCCCTCACTTAGGACCTGTTTGCCTTGTGTGACCCTACGGGGGGCATGAAGCACCCGACAGCATAGCTCCTAGGATCACTGGGACACTCAAACCTCTCCACCATGATAAGGTGGCAGCCCAAGGAGATGAATAAAGTCTTACTTGTTTATTCTTGTTTACAGGCACCGAGAGGAGGATGAGGATGTCCACAAAGAGGAAGAAGAGATAGGTTGTGGCAGGATGGTGAACATTGGAGCAGATCCTGGTCCAAGTCCTCTGAAGGATCTCAGAACTGTGAAAGAAGCACAAAGAACTCAGACTAATAACTCAGATTTTATTAGCGTTAGCTGAGGCTGGAAGAAGTACCCCGGGCGTCTTTAATATTCCAGCACTGCAGGTATCTCCATGAACCTGAAATACCTGCTCGTATCAGGTAGGCTCAGCAGTGAATCTGGCACAAGGGCTGCAAGAACCAGGTTAAAGAGAGCAAAAATACAAAATCTACACAACATTTAGATGAATAAGTTCCTCGTTATCTTTTCATTATGAAAATGTAAAACAGGCTAACAGGTTTAAAGATTCAGACTTCAGCAAAACTACTGGTCTGCAAGACAAAAAAATGATCTCATAATTCACATTTACTTTATTTGAGTTGATGATGGTTAATGTGATCAACTAGATTTTAATACATGACTCCAGATAAAAAGGTGAAAATAAAAGAAATAGTCTAAAAGCAGCTCAGAGACTTAAACACTGCTGCTCACACAAACAATGGGTCTACTCAGTTTGACAGAACTCTGCAGAGACTCCAGGCATAAAAATCCTAACTCCAGCGTGGAGCGGCTGAGTGAAGGTGGTCTGGACTCTGTGGAGGAGGGTCATGGTTTCGGAGACGCTGTAGAAGGACAGAACACCTGCTCTGTGGTCCAGGTACACCCCGATCCTGGAGGAACCAGGACCTGAGATGGAGGTTTGGACATTGTTGTGTAAAAACATGTATTTTTTTTGATAACAATCTAAAGCCCAGGATTTGTCGTTGCATCCAAATCCACATTTGGCTCCTACTCTGCTGATATTTTTGTAGGCGACGCCTATGAATCCTCCGTTTCCTCTCCACTCCACCTCCCAATAACACCGACCCGTCAGACCTTCTCTGCTCAGAACCTGACAGCTGTCTGTGAATCTGTCTGGATGATCAGGATAAGACTGATTTTGTCTCATCAGTTTTGTTTTTCTGCCCCCCTCGGACAGAAACAGCTGTGGGTGGGCTGTGTTTGGATCCAGTGTGATCTCATGTGAATATCTTAAAAAGGTTATTTTGTTTCTTGGATCTGGTTCAGGCAGTTGGACTTCAGGCTGCGATTCGTCCGTCCACGTGTCTCTCAGGATGTCCTGCAGGACATTAACAACCTCCTCCACAGCTGCTGTCACGTCCTCAAAGTATCTGAGCGGATGGATCTTGATGCTGGATGAGTGTGGAGACTCACTGAGTGCTGACACTGAGGGGTAGTTGTGGAGAAACTGGTTGTGATCCTCTGTGAGTGAGAGCTGCTTCAGCTCAGCATCTTTCCTCTTCAGCTCAGTCATCTCCTGCTCCAGCTTCTCCTGAAGCTCTTTGACTCGACRCACTTCAGTTTCCTGCTGGGATCTGATCTGCTGCTTCACATCAGAGCTTCTTTTCTGGATGAGACGGATCAGCTGAGTGAAGATCTCCTCACTGTTCTCCACTGTTTGATCAGCAGAGTGATTGATGGCCTCCACCTCCTGTTGAAGCAGCTTCACATCTTTCTCTCTGTCCTGGATCTCCTGACAGATTTTGTCTCGTCTCGTCTCCAGCTCTCCCTGCTTCTCGGCTCTTTCTTCTGCAACTGACACGACGTTGTGGCCTCTATGTTCCTTAACTAAGCAGTGAACACAGATAAACTTCTGATCAGTACGACAGAACATCTTCATCACCTCAGCATGAGCAGGGCAGATGTTCTCCTGGAGCTTCTTGGAGGGATCCACCAGCTTGTGTTTCTGAAGTGGASCTGAATCATAATGAGGCTGAAGGTGTTTCTCACAGTAAGAGGCCAGACAGACTAAACAGGACTTGACGGCTTTGAGTTTTCTTCCAGAGCAGACATCACAGGACACATCTTCAGGTCCAGCATAGCAGAGATCAGCAGGAGCAGCTTGGAGTCCAGTCTTCTTCAGCTGCTCCACTAAAGCTGCTAACATGATGTTCTTCACCAGGGCAGGCCTCTGTATAAAGCTTTCTCTGCACTGAGGACATRTGTAGATTCCCCTCTGTTCTTCTTCATTCCAGTGGTCTTTAACACAGGTCATACAGTAGCTGTGTCCACAGGGAATAGTCACAGGATCCTTCAGCAGATCCAAACAGATGGAACAGGAGAAATAGTCCTGATCTAGCTGATTCACTCTCTGCTCCATGTCTCCTCTCAGTAACAGTGACTYTGTGAATTTTAATGCATCTAARTTTAAACTTGACTTCTGAMGGGGCGGGAAGAAGGAAATATGTGGACAGACTGGACTCACCTGAGAACTGGAACAGGAAAATTCAAGTTTGTTCACATTGCAGAACAGGAAACACAAGCTGTTCCTTCATTTACAATAAAGGGTCAGGTGGAGTTATGAAACTGTTACGTGTTTAAAGAGTTGTTTCATCAAGGAAGCTGTTCTTTTTACAAGTCATTAACCTGAGTGACCTTCACAGAAGTGTTATATAACACTCTGTTCTTTCCTGTGACAGCTGAGGTTATTGTTCAACTGTTTGTTGTCTTTGGCAGAGAAACAAAAATGTTTCAGTTCYATGGATTTATTTGAATCTGTCCAAAAGTAATCATTGGTTTTGCATCAACAGGTGATTAACTCTTCAGTTCAGTTAAAGATGGCCACCTCAGAAAACTAAACATTAACGTCTACAACTCAGGTTGAGCTAAACTTCACTGTGCTTTTAGCTGAGAGTTGTTCAGCACACAAACACTGAATATTCATTAAACAGGACCCACAAAACAAGTTCAGGTGAGACTGAGAACTGCAGGACATCATGGTGTTCTTCAACTGACACAAACCTGTCAGGATTTCTATTTCAGGAACTCACCATGAGAAATATTTACCAAGAACTGTTTCTTTATCCTCCAAGAATCTCACAACCAAGTTCAGGAACAAACAGGAAGAAAAAACAAGATTAACGTGGTCATAAAATGACAACACTCCCATCTTATGATCAAAGTTTGTAACTGCAGTGGAGACATTTAAACGTTGGACAAAACATAACAGCGTTATCATAAAGTACAAAATAAAACGTGGCTGCATCTGTAAATACATTAAATAGATATTTAAAGTGTAAAAAATGTCATCAATTATTGGAAGTTGTAAAATGTTTGCAGTGTTCTTTGCTTACTCAAGATAATGCAGTTCGGGGTGACGGGGTCACCATTTTGTAAGAAAATGTGATCAATAGTTGGAAGTCAAAATAAGTTTGTAGTGTTCTCTGCTTATTCAAGATCAATTAATCACATCTAGAGTTAACCTTTTTTTTAAGAAAACATGATCAATATTTGAAAGCTGGAATACGTTTGCAGTGTTCTCTGCTTATTCAAGGTCATTCAATCACGTCGGGGTCACCAATTTGTAAGAAAATATGGTCGATAATTGGAAGGTGGAATACACTAAAGTATTGTCTCACCTGACTTGACTCACATATGAGCTTATATCCCATTCCTAATCCATAGGGTTAATATGACATTGTTCCACCCTCTGCACTTAGAACAGCTTCAACTCTTCTGGAAGGCTGTCCACAAGGTTTAGGAGTGTGTTTATGGGGATTTTTGACCGTTCTTCCAGAAGCACATTTTGTGAGGTCACATACTGATGTTGGACAGAAGGCCTGGCTCTCAGTCTCCACTCTAATTCATCCCAAAGGTGTTCTATCAGGTTGAGGTCAGGACTCTGTGCAGGCCAGTCTTCTTCATCCACACCAGACTCTGCCATCCATGTCTTTATGGACCTTGCTTTGTGCACTGGTGCACAGTCAACTGGAAGGGTGAGCAGATACTTTTGGCAACATAGTGTATGTTTGCAGTGTTCGTTGCTTATTCAAGATCATCCAGTCACATCGGGGTCACCAATTTGTAAGAAATGTGATCAGCAGTTGAAAGTCAGAATAATTTAACAGAAAACCAAGTTGATTCTCTTCGAAAAATCTTTATTACAGCTCTCCATGTCAGCTCACAGCCTGCCAGCCAGGGCCTGTGAGTGTAAGACCTTGGGTTATATCAGAATCATAACAATAACAAAACCCTCTCAGCAGCTCTGCATCTAGGCTGCACTAAAATGAGAATCTCCTTTTCCTTCAAAATTCTTCCATTTATCTACAGGATAGGACACTAGTCGAGTAGGAAGGGGGGTGTCCCATGCACCCGAAAGATATATATTTTTTAACCTAATTTTTTGTACTCCTTAAGGTGTCTAGTAAATAGATTGTGTTGGCCCCAAATAAAATTATTGTCCCATATATGTTTTTATTGACCATCTTTAATGGCCGACCTGGATTTTCCATTGTGAAAAATGTAAACTTTAAATCATAGCTCCTAAACTATACATCCAACAGACACCATTCACCCCATTTTATTTTTGTCTTTTCATGGGTAATTAGTTGAAAAAGAGATACCCATGATTATATCATGTTTAATGCATAATAGCTGGAGTAAACACAAAAAAATGCTAAAATTCGCATAACTGAATCGCAGGAACTTCTCCCCTATTTTCATCAGACATTGAAACCTTAAACAAACTTTATGTTACAGGTTGGGACAAATTGATAGAGACTTACTGTCCCTGTTTAAAGCATATGACCATAATTGATCAAACATGAGACTGGATATACAGCGGGTAAAATAAGTATTGAACACATCACCATTTTTCCCAGTAAATATATTACTAGAGGTGCTAATGACATGAAATTTTCACCAGATGTCGGTAACAACCCAAGTGATCCATACATACAAAGAAATCAAACCATAAATGTCCAGAAATTCAATTCAATTCAATTCAATTCAATTCAATAATACTTTATTGATCCCAGAGGGAAATTAGGTTAAATGAAGTTATTTGTAATAATGTGGAATGGCATAGAGTTGTCCAAGAGCCAAGGACCACTTGTGGAG